GCCAAGACCTCATTAGTTTAAAAATTAGTTACAGATTCTGACAGCACCACTTGCTAAGTAACATTTGATTGATTTTAAGCATCAAGGCTAGAAAACACTAAGTGCTCAATAAAGAAGGTGTGGAACACAACTTACTTTTGAGCATCTTGTTTACTATTTCTCCCTTCTCAAAATATTTATTCCTTTTAAGTTACGAAATAACACAAATGGCCAAAAAGTGTCAAAACAAAGATCCTGTATGCAGCAGCCTGTAGCATGATAACTGCACCCAAATCCAGCAAAGGTCTAGAACCAAGGAAACTAAGGCTCAGGAAAACATCTACTCTTAGCACTTCCATACTTTTGAGTTGAATAGCATTTGAAATACTTCAGGAACATGAAAATTTCTACTCTATGCAGCTACACAGCTTGATTATAACTTTAGGTTATTTTTATGAGCAGTGGAAGGTAAACTTCTCCAAATATAGATGCATTATATTTTCATAATCAAAATCAGAGAAAAGCAGGCAGTAATTCAAGCACCACCATAAAGCTAATTCAGATTTTAAAAAAATCAGAGGCATCCTATTCTGGGGTATTTTCAGCCTTTGCTACCTTTCTTTAGTTAAGAAAAAAAGAGTTGCTTTTTGAAATACAATGTAAAAGTCAACACTTCAGAAGAGGTTAGGATTCTTTGCAGAACCCAGGTATCTAAAGCAAAACATTAACTACTCGCAAATAATGTTTGCCCACTGCATCCTAAGAGGCTCTAGGGACTTGTAGTCAGAGGAGATGAGCAACCAGTTGCTCGGTAACACGAAGATAATACTGCTCAGGTGTCTAAAGACAGCAATAATTAGTAATTAAAGGGTGCACTGGCTTTGAAAATAAGCTGGTCAAGCCTGAAGAATGAACTTGAGAGACTTTCTTTCAGGCAAACACTAAAAGACAGAGGTTTTCCTTTTAGAAGCTGTCCTGTTACAAGCATGGTATTACCTTTAAATGAGATCCATTAAGTGTTTTCACATTCTTCAGGCTAAAAGCTAGATCTCATCCTTCCTGCCAAACAGACAAAACAAGTGCTGCTTGTACTTGAGAATCAATTTATAATCTGTTAATCCTGACAGGGTGGAAGGCTGGCCACAGGGATCCTGCTCAAGTCCCCAGCCAGATATGATGCCAGTGTTAAGTCATTCACTGTGTGCTCTATCCAGATCTCATGATCTATTAGCAATAAGTGTTCTACATGCTATAACAGGAAGCAATAAAGTTGTTGAACTACTACATGATTCATGCACTCATGATTTCAGACATTATATTAGTTTCATTAATAAGGGATAATTACAGCACAGGATCAGCAACAAGCCAATTTGCTGAGAAGGAAGGAGATTCTGCCTAACCCTGTAAACCTACTCCTCTGCTCTTACCCAACAGATCATCTTACAGCTCTCTACACAGCTTATTGTGATGTTTGACTTTATACTGAAATAGAAGTGCTATGTTGTATAGCTACAGCTGAGAATGTTTAGCATAGCACTGAGATGTTTCACTGCCCAAGCACTTCCTGCAAAGCTGAGCAGTTCTCAGATTTAAAAGTTCTGCACACCATTTCATGTCCCCAGTCTTAACTCCACTCAAAGTGTAATTATTCCTTAACATCTGAACTCTATTAACATTCAAATAGTGAAGTCTTCCTTTCACACCACTTCTGCCATTCTACTCTTTCCTCATACTACAACAATATAGCTTACAGAGAAAAACACTACTATCAATTCGGATTTGGATCCCTTCATCCAGCTGCTGAATGGACTCAGAAGCCCCTTACTCTTTAAGGCTAAAAAATGTTGGTTTACTGCAGTCCTCCACACTCTGTGAGTTAAGCAAAACAACAGCATTTGTAGAAGTGATGCAACAATGCAACAATCTGAAAACACAAGTCCCAAGCCACAACTCGCATCTTCTAATTGCCTTCAACAATGCTGATTTCTGACAACCCTGTGTTTATACTCTTCCTTTCATACTTGCTTTTGCTGAAGGAGCTCTCTTTACTTCCCTTGAAGTGAGTCCTGTGCTGCACAACTCATGTGCAACTCAATGCCTTAACCATAAAAATTCCCAGACATACTGATTCAGTTTCACCATTTAAGCTGAACTACAAAAGCAAAGGCATTTAAAAAAAAACTATAAAGGAGAATGACACAGTGCAATGAAGTACTGAATAGGACTTAGTGTCTTTTGTTTCACAAACGTGCCTCATTTGGTCTCCATACTAAATATTAGTTTGCACAATTGTCAGAACTTTGATACTGAATTGTAATTGTGCCCATTGTACTGAAGAAATTGATTTCACTCAAAATTAGCAATATTTCATATTCCAATAGACAAATTTCTATGGTCCAATATTACTAAAATGTAAAAGAAACTGTTTCAGGAACTGAAGTATTCCAGTCCTGTGTCTAAATTATGTCTGTATTTAAAGACCAGCATGTATTTAAAAATTAACTTACTTGAGTTGCAGATCTTGCAAAGGGAAAAACAACTTCAGTGAGAGCTAAAAAATCTCAAACTTATGTTTTCTGATCCAAGTGGCGGGAATAACCATGTTAACATGGTGCTTCTAAGTGTAAAATGTTGTATTATTTAAACTAAAATTATTTCCATTGCAATTGAAAACAAATTCCTGAGATGAACAGGAATTAATAATATGATATACCCAGGAACACCCATGTTTCTTCTCCACAATGATATGTTGCATTTCTTTACTTCAAATTTTTCTATTACTAGATTTTATCATCTCAACATTATCTGATAAAAATTATATGGGTTTAGGACCAATTCAAAGAAGGGGATCCTGTAGTATTCTTCAATGAAAGCTGGAAATTTAAAAACACTGTCTGGCCATGTTCTCAGTAACAATGGCCTAATTATTCAACGGGGAACATTTTTACTAAAGTACATCTTTAAGCCTTAGCTTTCAAATTTTTATTCATTCTACCAGTATTTGGGCTTCATTCTACCAGCATCTGGGCTTCATTCTTCATTACCTGAGCTTAGAAACTTAGAATTTAGGTAACAATTTTGAACTGTCTTCCAAGCTAACTTTGAAAGTAAACAGGTATTTGACACTTTCACATATTTCTGCACTGATATTCCAAATAAAAAGGAGGTTGAAGAGAGGTGTGTGGATCCAGATTCAATCATATCTGCTGTGGTAACTGCATTAATTTTCAGTTTAATTGACATAAGACCAGAAACAATAGCCATCAGAAACATGAGAACAATGTCCATCTTTTTCTTTTTTATTTAACCACATAAGTACATGTCAACAGTTGGCATAAACTTCATAAAAATACAGTACCTTTTTGTGCTGTAACACTAGTCACAATATTTATATAAAGATTTTTCCTGCTTCCTTGAATTCAATTAACATTTCTAAAAGTGACTTTCCAAAAGCCCTTTTTGTGAGTTTCCTTATAGAAATTTTTCCAAAATCTATTCTGTAAAAGTTAAAAAGCTAATGCAGTTTCAGCCATTCTCCCTCACCCTCTCAATAAAACAGACTTTAAAAAAATAAGAAGTCTTAGAATACTGATCAATTGTTACACTACTACTTTACCATAGGTTCCCATTTAATTGACAGTGTTACAGGCGTGACAGATGCTGTTCCTAAAGCATCTAATATTGCTAGATGCTATTAGGGCTAAAAAGACCAGTCATATCAATAGACTGATATCTGAACAAAAAACTAACCAAGCCAAAACAAAACCAAAACATGATTGATATACAGAGAAACATTTGACTTTAGAAGCCTTATTCTGCAGGATCAGTTACTGTGATACTTCCCAATGGCAATAATCATACAAAAATTCTACCAAGACAGTTAAAGGACTAAAGGATGTCCTTGCACTGGGTACCCTGGGAAGTGAATTGTTTAAATTCTTTATAACATATCATGTTGGTGTGACACTGAGATGACAGAACCAGTCTAATATTTTTGGAGCAACTACACCCACACAACTGACTACGCCCATATCACAAGTGGGTTAAATTTGATTTTTCTTTAATGCTGATGATAAAATCCAGGCAGGATTTAATACCTGGGAAAAGAAAACGGGGCATTTTTAAAGTAATTTCTTATCAAGTTAAGCACTGAAGGTCTAGTTAAGGCAGTGAAGGATTTATTTTTTTTTTTTTACTATCTTTCTAAGGCTATGACAGATTTTTCCTGAATAAAGCATTTTCCCTTACAAATTTAATGTATATTATGGCAGTTTATTCTGAATACATAAGAATGCTAAAAATCCTTGGACACTGAAAAGCTAAACTATTGCTCACTGCAAGTATTACCCTTATTAGTCTTCTTTTTTAATATCAGTAGGTTTCCAAGAACATGCACCTAAGTAATGAAGTTTCAAGTCTGCATACAAACTTTTCCATTTCAAAAGCAAGCTTAAAAGCACGTGTTAAGTGATCCAAAATGACAACGTTCTTAATACTCTCAAAGAAAAAATGTATTTCTCCCTGACATGACTAGTGAAACTACATGATTTTAAAGAGAATGTCTAGTATCACCTTATCCAGAAGGGAGATGGGTAATGAAAGTGACATGAGAAATGTGATGCCAGATGCTATAGCACCATTCCTTTGTTCCTAGCTGCTAGCACCAAAGCTTTAAACAAACTTGCTTTGCTAAAACATTCTGACAGTCCCATTTCACAAGATCATTGGTTTTGAGAATGAAGTTACTTGCCATAGCTACTTTTAACTCTTTTTGGATCAGTGTTAAATACAATGTGCAAACATATAATCATTTGCATAGCAAATCTCAAGGGACTGACCCTGAAATAGAAATCCAAACTGTTAGGTTTAAGATATTTCTATAATCAGAATTCACTTAAAATGGTAAAAAATAAAATACACTTTTCCATTTTAAGTTTAGTAGAAAAGGTACTTCTGATTTAGAATTCTTATAGTTACTAGCTTAAAAAGTTGAAAGACTGATGGTTCTTTGCATTGAAATGTTACTCCTTTGGAATCTTCAAGACTCTGTAATTGCTATTTTCAAATACAGTGATGAAATGTGGCCTAGAATCCTTGCTCATAAGGGTACACAAAGGAATTCTGCCACTGTTAGCAGGATCTTCAACATCCCAAATTTCAGGCATACTGCAACCAGGCCTAGAAAACATATACAAAAAGAGAAATTAAGAAATGCCATCAAAAAACATACAGCTTGCTGAACTCAGTTTTTTTAACCCCCACTATGAATATTCAACTGTACCATCTGTTTTTTTTAAATTTGTCTGTATACTGGAAATTCTTACTGGATTACAAAACCAATAAATATAGTAGTTATTTAAAACATAGCATTGAAAACGTGTGGCACTTGTCTGCTTTTGCAGTTACATAATAAGAATTTATCTGGAGGAGGAAGCATATAAAACAACTCAAATTATTATACATTACTGGGGACCCTTAACACTTCTTATAAAATGGAGGGCAATTTTCACACTGTTAACACTTCTAAAGAAAACTCAGGAAATAAAACACCTTTTAAAAATAAAGTAATAACTTCTTGCCTTTTTATTAAGACACATAACCAACACCAATTTCCCATACAGTTACCTTTCAAAGTTAGAATTACTGAGAATTTCCTGATTTGTCAAAGAAACAGTTTTATTTCATTTTATTCTAAATGCCAAGAAACTAAACTTAAAAATCCAACCTAATTGGGTTCTAAAGCCCAAAAAGGGGGAAAAAAGCGCATAGCTTTTTATTAATGGCAGCTCAAATGTGACAAAATTTTCAGTGACCAGCCACCTGCCACCACAGAATGACAACTGGTTTCCTTTGTACTTCTGCATTTTACAATGAAGTTCAAGTATACATACACAGCTTTTTAGGTGCACACAAAGACCACAAGGTTGCTGATGTGGGTAAAGCTAATAATACATATTAATACCTGGAGATGCTGGACAAACATGTATTTTGGACATTTTTAATGAAGTACAGACCAACATTTCAAAACTACTTGGTATGAATCTTTGACTACATACTTGACTGGCGTATCACTCTTGTGAGAAAGAGAGAAATTACTCACTTTTTTCTGCTTACACACAACGACTCTTCCAGGATATAATAATTCACTCCTAGTTTTACCAATTCTCTTTTTACTTCTTTTGCAGGTTTTCGACTGTACATAGAGTACACTATTTTAGTTCTGGCCCTTCAGAAAGAGAAATATAAAAGTTAGCTAGCAGCATGGCATGAAAAGGTAAGTTTTAACTGGACAGGAAGGCTTTTTACTTCACAAGGAAGCCAGGCTAAAACAAAGTTTAAATTAACAATGCCATTTGCTTTAATTTGATATTTTCTCCACAAATATAATGAATCCAAGAACAATGTATAGAGCCCCTTGATTTTTCTGTAGCAAGAGACAATTTGTAACAAGATCCATGGTTACCGTGAATGGAAAACGTAAAGGCGTCAAAGCAAAGCATTCACCACGTAATATGCAACTCCAAATTACCAAAATTGATGCTACCAAATTTTACCAAATTACCAAAAATGATGCTACAACATTAACCTTTTTTTTAAAAAAAAAATAATTCACGACCTTATCAGATAAATAACTTTAAACTTAGAGAAATATCCTGATTTTGAAACTGACAAAATACAAAACTGAGTAATTCCATAACAAAAATTAAGTTTCAACTAGCGTGCTGGGTTTGACTGAGGTGAAGTTAATTTTCTTCATACTAGCTGGTGTGGGACTGTGTTTTGGATTTGTGCTGGAAACACAAATCTGGTAATGCAGAGATGTTTCAGTTATTGCTGAGCAGTGCTTGCACACAGCCAAGGCCTTTTCTTGGGAGCCGACCCAAGCTGACAAGGGGTATCCCATACCATATGACATCAAGTTCAGCAATCAAACTAGGTGGAGGGTTAGCAGGGGGGGAAGTGCCTCAGGAACTGGCTGGGCATCAAGTCAGGTGGTGATGAGCAATTATTGGCATTTACATCACTGTTCTTATCTTAACCCACAACTTTTGTCACTTTTACCCTTTCAATTCTCTTCCCCTAGGTCTGCAAGGGGGGTAGTGAGCAAGCAGCTGTATGGTTCTTAGTTGCTGGCTGGGGTTAAACCACAACAACCTGGTCTAGTAGGAGGTGTCCCTGCCCATGCAGAGGGGTTGGATCTAGCTGATCTTTAAGGTCCCTTCCAAGCAAAACCATTCTATGATTCTATGAACTAGACTCAGTATTTCAGTATTCAAGATATATTAGAACAAAAAAAAAATTCCAACCACAGACAGCTAATAGGAATAACTAACTTAGCTACCTTGAGAAAAGAAAAAAAAATAAAATCAAGTCTGTCTACAATGTCAGGAGTAGCTAGAATTAAGAAAGTACATAACAGTACACATTAGTTCCAATTTTGTAATTATATTTGGATTTTTTTTGTATAGAAGTTTGAAGTCATTGCTATCCTACAGTATATCCTTTCTGATAAATATAAATCCTGAAGAAATACTGCATTTGTTTTCTATCTGCCTAAAATAACAAATCAAGCTCCCTGGGATTTTAACAGATTCTTACAATACAACACAATGCCATTCCAACTGTGTATGACCAACATTCATGCTAAAAACAAAATTTCAACTTCGATATTTACCTCAATCCTGCATCTTCATAGTGAGGATGATTTACGATAGGACGGAGTGTAGACAATTTAACACTTGCCATTGTAGGCATTGCTCCAGCAAAAACTGCATCTGAAATATAAAATGAAAGGCATGTTTGAAATGAAAAATCAAGCAGTAAAAGCAGAGAATAAGTCTTCAAATGTCTAAACAGTAATCTTGTCGAAAATCATAGAGTAGGATACTCCTGAAATGGCCTCACGTGGCACCGACAGAATATGCACAAAATCACTTTTTTAAAAGTTTGAACTTAATACAAGTCACTAAAAAACTTAGAACATATTTGATACATTCTTATTTTTCTTTAATGGTCAGAATAACATTCACTATGAGACGACTTTTTTCTTTGGTCACTTCTTACACCATTGTTAAATGAGCAATGCAATTTCAGTACTTTCCTGCTAAAAGAGTAACTACCTTCTTTCCAGCTGGTTTTCTGGCACTTTTACTCATTTTAGTATAAGTATTTAGTATAAGTATAAGTATCATTTTAGTATAAGTATGGGTGCAAACACAGCAAAAAAAAATTACAACCACAGACAGCTAATAGGAATAACTAAATTAGCTACCTTGAGAAAAGAAAAAAAAAATAAAATCAAGTCTGTCTACAATGTCAGGAGTAGCTAGAATTAAGAAAGTACATAACAGTACACATTAGTTCCAATTTTGTAATTATATTTGGATTTTTTTTGTATAGAAGTTTGAAGTCATAGCTATCCTACAGTATATCCTTTCTGATAAATATAAATCCTGAAGAAATATTGCATTTGTTTTCTATCTGCCTAAAATAACAAATCAAGCTCCCTGGGATTTTAACAGATTCTTACAATACAACACAATGCCATTCCAACTGTGTATGACCAACATTCATGCTAAAAACAAAATTTCAACTTCGATATTTACCTCAATCCTGCATCTTCATAGTGAGGATGATTTACGATAGGACGGAGTGTAGACAATTTAACACTTGCCATTGTAGGCATTGCTCCAGCAAAAACTGCATCTGAAATATAAAATGAAAGGCATGTTTGAAATGAAAAATCAAGCAGTAAAAGCAGAGAATAAGTCTTCAAATGTCTAAACAGTAATCTTGTCGAAAATCATAGAGTAGGATACTCCTGAAATGGCCTCACGTGGCACCGACAGAATATGCACAAAATCACTTTTTTAAAAGTTTGAACTTAATACAAGTCACTAAAAAACTTAGAACATATTTGATACATTCTTATTTTTCTTTAATGGTCAGAATAACATTCACTATGAGACGACTTTTTTCTTTGGTCACTTCTTACACCATTGTTAAATGAGCAATGCAATTTCCGTACTTTCCTGCTAAAAGAGTAACTACCTTCTTTCCAGCTGGTTTTCTGGCACTTTTACTCATTTTAGTATAAG